TCGACCTCCGCATGCTATAATATTACCTGGCTTCTTGTTCTTGATCTACGACCTCGACCTCCGCATGTTATAGAACAATCACTCCAAGAGGACCAAGAGGACCAACTACATATATCCATCTCCTTTAACAACAATAATTCAAGTAATAAAGTAATTATGTATTTCACACACCTTTTTTCAACAAGAGTTGACAATTTTGTTCAATTCTTGATAATTTGTTTTGCTACGGGAAATATCAAGTGAACCACTACTTTATGTGTAAGCGTGTTTAATTCTGATACATCATGTATGTTTTCATGAAGTAGAAATTTGCAAGTCACTTTCGGAAAGAAACTACAATTGAAAATAATCAGTTTTCAATATTTTACAAATGGAGATCCAATTCATCAAATTATCAATTGATCAAAAAAGGGCACCATTATCATCTTTGCATGAAGCAAGGTTGTATAATAAGGTTGCTTACTCTCGATGCGCTCCAATGTTCGGAAATTATCGTCTCCTTAGCATAGATAGATAAAATCCGCATATGCTGGAACTGATTATAGAGGTGAGAGTGACATCATATTCGGATTCTATCTATCTATGCTAAGAAAAACGACATGTTCCGCACATAGGAGTGTATCGAGAGTAAGCAGCCTTAATATACAACCTTGGCATGAAGCCGGTCACTTGAAATTACGCTTACTTTCCCTTTAAGTCAGTTTGAATATCTGTAATTACAGAATCCATCTTTATTTAAAATAGTTCAATAACAAATGAAAAATATTCAGAAAATCTAGAAATGAAAAGATTAATTTATCAATTTGCTGACTTCATTTAAAAATGAAAATGTTTAATAATTACCTCTAACGTTATATTGTTGGCAACAGAGTTGAGTAGATTTATGCTAGCAAATACTAAACACATAATTTATTAGAATTATAATACACTGGTCGTCATATAAATTAAAACAATGAAGACAATGTTCTCTTTCAGTTTTGATTTTTGTCAATTAAAAGGGAAATAGGGCTTTATTTTTTAAATATAACTGCTTCATGATTTCAATTCGAATACTGGATCTCAGATTCGTCAAGATTCAATAATGGTGGTTTATTAAGATACTCTGGATGTGCTCCAATTTACTATACATGTCGTCTTTATAGCAATTGACGCTCAAAATCCTCATATCACGTTGGTCACAATCGTCTCTGAAGTCTCCTTTTTTGGAAACCTCAGTATGAGGTTTTGATGACGCTCTGACAGTCCAGAGTTATACTTACCGAGTGGAAATTGCCAATTACCATCTTTCTTGGATTCAATCTAAAAAGTATTCAATTCAAAACAACCATGGTAAATAATCCTGCAAAGGTACAGGGTTACCCACAAAGGATGAGACTTCAGACTCTACGGAATTTTTACTGTCTATTTCATTATATTCATTCCTTGCAACTGTAAACTTCTTTCTTTCTTTGCTTTGTCATTAAATTATTTATTAATTAAAATACTATATGCAAGACAGAATACTTTATTTAACCTTGAGATTGTCATATTTTAAGAGTTTCAGGTCGTCTTTACAGCCTCACACTTTGTGGTTAACCCTGTATACAAATGTAAATAAGAAATTCGATTTTTTTAATAACAATCAATAAAGGGTGCAATGCTATTGTGTTACCTCAATTAGCTCCTGTTCTGTGTTATTGAGAGAAAGGTCGTCTTCTTGCATATCTTCAGAGTTCACATTGTCGTTTTCGTTTTTCTCTTCAGGCGTCACTATGTCGTCTTCCTGTCGCTGTTTGGGAGACAGTATTTTGTTCTCAGTTTGACAGGAAACAACAACATTGGTTTTTGGTTGAATCTAAAAAAAAACTTCTTTTTTAATCAAATCAAAAAACAAATCCTGGGCATTGAGTTACATACACAAAAATGTATATAAACAATCAAATTCTAAGCTCTCACAGGACTTTCCGAGTAGGCCTTGTCACACTGTATTTCCATCATCTCAAAACTGGAATGCATCGTAAGGACTCCTGATTTAAAATGGCAGTTTAGCTTGATATCTCCCTCTAATAGGAAAATGAGCCCCAAAAACTCCTCGTTATACTTCTCTTATGACGCAATTACTCTGCTTTGAAGCAAAATATAATCCCTCAAAGAGGAAGGAAAAGTCTAGTCCTAAGGCAGCGAGTTCATTTCCATCCAGAGTTTCTTAAATAGGAAGTTGTCAGAAAACGGCCCTGGAACCTTAGGAACGCACATTTCCTTCCCTATATAGGAATGTATAATGTTTCAAAGCAGAGTAAATACGTCATAAGAGAAGTATAGCAAGGAGGTTTGGGCTCAACTTCCTATAAGAGGGAGAAATCAAGCTAAACTGCCTTTTTGAATCAGGAGTCCTTACGAGGCATTCCAGTTTTGGGATGATGGAAATACAGTGCATATGACTTTTTTTGTTAAAAATAAATAATTTTTTGTTGAAAATAAGCGAGTTTTTTATTGAATATAAGAAATTTTTTGTTTGAATGAAAAGGATTTTTTAATTGAAAATAAGCGATTTCGTTGAAACTAAGCATTATTTGTATTAAAAATGAGCGATTTTCTGTTGAAAATAAGTGAATGTTTTTAAATTAAGTGTTTTTTAAATAAGCGTTTTTTGTTAAGCGATTTTTTGTCACCATATCGGGTACCATCCAACTTTTTTACATTTTATCGCTTAATTATGATTTTTAATTTAAAGTGCATACTAAATCAAAAATCGTTTACAAGGACGATTTTGAAATTGATTCTCAACTTCCATGTAGTTTTTTGGGACACTCCCTGTATATATTTTCCCTCTTTGAGTGATTCTTGACTCAGACTTTGGATATTGTTCACTCAGTTCAGCCTTAAACATTCAAATGTCCTAAAGTTTAAAGTTCTGGTATAACTAACCATAAAATTGTTGAATGTCCATATTTCAAGAAATATTTCAAGTTCCTTCATACAGAAATATTCAGGCAAAGAATATTCACACCAATATACACCAGCAGTCAGGCCAACCTAGAGTATCATTATTATTATTATTATTATTATCATTACTATTATTATTATCATTATTATTATCATTATCATTATTTTTATTATAATCATTATCATTATCATTATCATTATC